ATGATGATGATGATGATGATTATGCTGATGATGATGATGATGATGCTGACCATGATGCTGATGATGATGATGCTGAGGATGATAATGATGATGATGATGATGATGATGATGATGATGATGATGATGATGATGATGATGATGATGACGATGAGGCGGAGGAGGAGGAGGAGGAGGAGGAGGAGGAGGATGCAAGCCGTCGCATCTGGCATCCTTCGTCTTCACTCTGTGAGGAGCTCTGATGGAACCCGTGTGGACTGTCCTGGGGCTGCCTTGGCCTCCTGTGAGGCGGTCGTGGGGGTCCCTTGGGGCCCTCTTTGGCTGTCTTGTGGCCCCTTTTGGGCTGTCTTGGGGCTGTTGTGGGCCGTCTTGTGGCCAGGTGTTTGGGGGCAGTCTTGGATAGTCAAACGGCCTTCCATGGCCGTCTTGGCTCCCACGGGAGGCTCTCTTGGGCTGTTTTGGGGCCGTCTTGGATGCTTCTTGGGCCACAGTGGGACCTCCCGGGCATCATGGGACCCTCTTGGGGGCCTCTTGGGCCGTCTTGGGGCCATCGTGGAAGCTTGTTGGGCCGTTTTGAGCTGACAGGAGCCCGAAAAGGCGAGAATGCGAACATGATTCAAACACCCTCGGGAAATCCATGATTTTGGGTTCTTTGGACCAGGTCCTCTTGTGGCCCTTTAGGGCCGTCTTGGAGGCATGTTGGACCGTCTTGAAGTCACATTGGGCCGCCTTGGGGCCATCTTGGGCGATTGTTGAGGCATCTTTGGCCAGCTTGGTGTCCTTTGGTTGCCTGCGTGGGTCTTCTTGGAAGCTCGGGACGCGGATCCACATTTTTTTTTTATTTACGAGGGGGCGTGGCCTTTGGATCGCGGATCCATGGTTGTTTCACAACCCTCCAGTGTGTTGGGTCCTCGTTTTGAATCCTCGTCCTCCTCCTCCTCCTCCTCCTCCTCCTCCTCCTCCTCCCCTCCTCCCCCTCGTCTTCGTCCTCTCTCCATCCCTTCACTTCCTCCTCAACCGCCCCTTTCCCACTTCCCATCACCACCATCATCATCGCCATCATCATCGCCATCATCATCATCATCACCATCATCATCGCCATCATCAACATCATCATCACCGTCACCACCATCATCTTTGTCATCATCTTCTCCTCGCCCTCGGATCATCATCGCCGTCGTCATCATCGTCGCCATCGTCGTATTTAGAATCATCCGCATTTATACTCGTTATCACCATCATCATTCTCATCATCGTTTTGGCGCATTTCTCACCCGCTTCGTGGCCCCATAGGGAGCTCCAGAGAAGGCCCCAGTGGTAAAGTAAGCAGACGTATTCGACTCCATTTCGGCACAGCCCTCAAACGTTTCGTGGCCCCACAGGGAGATCCACCGAAGGCCCCAGTGGCCCAGTGCGCGTGGTTACCCGCGCTGTTTCGGCACACCCCTCGCACGTTTCGTCGCCCCATGGGGAGATCCACCGAAGGCCCCAGGGGCACAGTCCGCATTGTTACCCGCGCAATTCCGGCACACCCCTCACACGTTTCGTGGCCCTCTCCTCGTTTTGAATTCTCCTCCTCCTCTTCCTCCTCCTCCTCCTCCTCCTCCTCCTCCTCCTCCTCCTCCTCCTCCTCCTCCTCCCCCTCGTCTTCGTCCTCCTCTCTCCATCCCTTCACTTCCTCCTCAACCGCCCCTTTCCCACTTTCCATCACCACCATCATCATCGCCATCATCATCGCCATCATGACCCTCTAAGGAGCCCCATCGAAGGCCCCAGGCATGGTTACCCGCGCAACTTCGGGACACCCCTGAAACGTTTCGTGGCCCCATGGGGAGATCCACTGGAGGCCCCAGTGACACAGTCCACATGGTTACCCGCGCCATTCCGGCACACACCTCTGTGCCGTTTCGTGGCCCCCTAGGAGCTCCACCGAAGGCCCCAGTGGCACAGTCCGCATGGTTACCGGCGCCATTTCGGCACACCTCTGACACGTTACGTGGTCCCACAGGGAGATCCACCGAATGCCCCAGTGGCACAGTCCGTATGGTTACCCGCGCTAGTTCGGCACACCGTTCACACGTTTCGTCGCCCCCTGAGGAGATCCACCGAAGGGTCAGGGAGGAGTGGGGGGAGGAGGAGGGTGAGGAGGAGGAGGATGGGGAGGAGGAGGAGGACGAGGAGGAGGAGCAGGAGGAGGAGGAGGAGGAGGGAGGAGGAGGAGGAGGAGGGGGAGTAGGAGGGAAGGCGAGGGAATACTTAAAATGAGGAGCGGGGATGATGAGGGTGAGGAGAAGGAGGGAGGGGGAGGAGGAGGACGGGCGAGGGAATAATAGAAATGGCGAGGAGCAGGGAGGAGGAGGAGAAGGAGGAGGAGGAGGAGGGAAAACTTGAACTTATGGCGAGCCGGGAGGGAGGAGAAGGAGGAGGAGGAGGCAAAGGAGGAGGAGGAGGAGGAGGAGGAGGAGGAGGAGGAGGAGGAGGAGGAGGAGGAGGAGGAGGGCATGATTAGCATGATGAGCAGGTGGTTCTGATGATTTCCCATGTGTGATTCTTAGTGCCATGTGTGAGTGCGTGCCGGGCCTGTTAAGACGTTCTCTGGCGAAATTTCCAGGAGTATTGCGGAACCTTATTCTTACGATCTCTTGTGTATCGAGCGGTCTTCGCTTTGAATCCGCAGCGCCGCGCATCACCTCACTCCCGCCTCCCCCGCTCCTCTTCCCCCTCCTTCCTCCTCCCCCTTCCTCGTCCTGTCCTCCTCTGTTCTTCCTGCCCTGGCCCATTTTTGCACGCCCCTCACACGTTTCGCGGCCCCATAGGGAGCTCCTCAGAAGGTGTCAATGGCAGGGTCCGCATGACGGCCTCGGGCCATTTTGGCACACCTCTTACACGCTTCGTGGCTGTCCTCGTTTCCAGTGTGAGTCGTGAGAGTGCGTGCGCGAATGGATGACGGTGGGCGCAGTCTGACGTTGCTTGGCGAAGCGCTTCAGGGTTACTGCAGATCCCTCAATGTGTTTTCGTGCAATGGGCGGTCCTGCTTATAGTCGCCCCGTGTTTGAATGAGGGTTGTTTTTTTTCCTCCAGGCCAATTGTCTGCGAGGGATCGTGGCCTCGGGAGGGGGGCGGCGCATGCAGGGAGACGTGGGTAGGAGGGCCGGGGTGTCTCTCTCTGAACACGGAAGCCCTGCCGGGCAGTCCTTGGCCTTCTTTCGCGCCGCGACCTGCGCAAGGCACGGTGTGGCGAATTCTCTTCGGCTCCATCGCTCCCGCTCTCAATTCTACCTCTCTCGCGCCGCAGTGCACCATGTTGTCGCACACGTTTGCAGACCAGTGGCATCAGCGTCTTCTGCGCTTGACCGCAGGGAGTGCTGAGAGCGTGCTGCTTGTAGTATGCTTCCCAGAGATACGATACCCATGATGTCTATAACCGCGGGAAGCGATTATCGACTTCCTTTCGGCAGAATTATGTCGTTTCTCGCCCCTGGGAGTGATATCCTGCCCCCGGACCCCTCGGCGCGGGATCCAGCAAAGATCCTAGTAGGATCCCAGCAATACCTCAATCGGATTCCAATGAGAGCCTAAGAGGGTTGCAACATGAGCCCATCACGATCCCAATGGTTCTCGAGCGTATCCATTTCTTCGACGGTGCTCTATAGTGCGTCTAGATTGCCCCAGGGCTGTCCCAGGAATCTGGACTGTCGGCGGGGGCTCCTGCCTTCGAAGAGGCCGTCTCGAGGTCTCTCTTGGACCGTCTCACTCGTCTTACCCCCGCGGAAACATTTCTTTGAGTAGTTTGCCGTTGTGCCAGCGATATTGCTTGGCGGTTCCCCTCCTTGGATACGACTTACCCATCGGTCTTTGAAAGTAGGTATTCTTGGATTCCCAGATTTCAATCTACTTTAAGCACCTTCCTACTTCAACGATCGAGTGGCTTCACCTTTTCCGTCCTCGTCAGGGTGCGCGCGGAAGCCCAGTCTATTTTCACCGCCTTCCTATTTCGTGTTCCCTCTTACTTCCTCCGACCGATGGGTATCTTTGAGTTGCCACGTGTACCAGGGGTGGTGGTGGATAATCGCTTGCCACGGTGACATTCGTTGCGCAGGTGATGCGAGCTTCCTGGGGCCCTGGGGTATGTCAGATCCTCATTTCGTGCTCCATCAAGCCCATGCCGTCACCAGGGAAGCGCTCCATGGCTTGTGGCAGTGGTGTTGCTCATGCCATCAGCATCGTTCCAAGTCTCGCACGCGACAGGCGGTGCCTCGGCCGCACCACCAGCATCCATGCCTTCTGGCCCAAGGTACCCGGCAGCTGCAGCGCGAGCGCATTTTTCTGGGGTGCCCCAGTGTGAATTGCCACGGGCTCCCAGGGGGGATGCGAGGGCCCCAGGTGGGGGCTTATTCCGTCCCAGGAGTGGTCTCGAGGAAGCAGAGGCCGAAGACCACACAACGACAACACGTATTTTTCGGAAGTCCGCGCAGATTATTTGAGTCGTCGCTGCCCCCCCCCCCGTACCCCTTCCTTGGCGCGCGGAGCCCGTTATGCGCCGCCAGGGGTGGCGTGGAGGGGCCCCAGCGCTGATCCCGTAAACCCGGACGGCCCTCCGAAAGTTTCTATTTACGGAAGTCTTTGGCCGCACGGACGCGGCGGCGACCCCACCGCGGGCGTTCCAGGCTGAGAGTGCCACCGGTGTCCCGGGATCGGCCGATGTCGAACGACGTGCGTGGTGGGGAAGTCCGGGTCGTTGAAGTTGAGTGGTCCACGCGGTGTCAGCAGCGGACGCCGACGCTATCGCGGAGTGAACCTTGCCGCTGGTAGTTTGACAGTCTTCTACTCGCCCAGTTCACAGCGGGGTTCCCCAGTTGGTGTAGGATGACCATTGAGAACTGTCCAATGGGTGCCGTCACGCAGCAGCAGCAGCCCCTTGGGCGATGATTCATACATGGGGCTCCAGGACTGCTTGTGGGCGTCGTCGTCGTCGTCGTCGTCGAGATCATCGTACCGCTCTCTCCAGGGCGCTCCAGGCGGCAGCAAGCTCTGCGTGTCGAATCGCTGCCCCGTGCCCTTCCCTCAATCGTCATCCTGCACTGTGTCTTCCCCTCGCGCGGGCTCCCGCGAAGCGGCAGCCCCGCCGGCGCCGGCGGCCGCCCCCGGGCTCTGCAACATGCCGGCACGGGGCATGCTGGCCGAGGGCTCCGCGGACTCGCTGCGGGCGCCCTCGAGCGTCCTGAGGGCCCACAGCACCTCCTCGCTGCAGCCCGGGGGGAGAAGAGCACGCCGATGCCGGGGTGCCCTCCGCTCGGGGCCTCTTCCTCCTCCTCCTCCTCCTCCTCCTCCTCCTCCTCTCCTTTCCTCCTCCTCCTCTCCTTCTTCTCGTCCTCCTCCTCCTCCTCCTCCTCCTCCTCGTCATCCTTCTCCTCCTCCTCGTCATCCTTCTCCTCTTCCTTCTGCTCCTCCACCTCCTCCTCCTCCTCCTCCTCCTCCTCCTCCTCCTCCATCGGAAGCATGAGCAACTTTCCAAGGCTACCCTGCATCCTTCCCCTCCGGCCCATCTTTCGCCGCTTTCGCCTTCGCCGCGCCCCTCTCGCAAAGTGTCCACATGGCCTTCCAAGGCCCTTGCATCCCTATCTCGAAGAAGAACAAAAAACCATACACATACACTGTGGGCGCTCCGCGCGGGTTTCTTGGATCTGCGTTGGACCCCCCTCCCTGGCGTGAAGAGCGCCAGGGGTGGCGCCGGAGGCGCCACGAGAGGGGGTCCCAGCGCAGATACAAGACATCCTCGCGGAGCGCCAAAAGTTTCTCTTCATGCCGTTTTTCCTCCTGTTATCGTGCGTCCTTATTGCACGGGTTGACTGTATCGTCCCCCCTCATCCCGGAGCCCTAGGTCCCATCGTTCTGCATCATTTTTCAAGCCAGATCGATCTGTGACGGTCCCGGGGCCCGCAAGAATGAATCAGAAACCCCTGGCTCGAAAACATCGAGACGCCAGGATCTCAGGGCACCCTTACCGTGCTTCCTTATTGCACGGGACCGCTCACCCTCGTCTTAAGTCGGGCGTGTCCCCCTACAGGGGGAATGTTCAAAAATAGTTTGAAACGTAGTCGGGGGTCGATTTTTCTGGTATTTTTTGCGGGGGGCAATTCGGCATACCTAACAGCTTTTGCTGATAGGTTTCTAGTGGGGTCAAAAGAGAGCATCTGGACTCCACAGGGGGGTCTGGGCGGGTGCCGGGGAGGAAGGCCGGGAACAGAGCCGGGCTCGTTTTAAGCCAACAGTCACACACTTCGTGCTCTTCGACCTCCCAGAACTCCATTCCCGGGCCACATTTTGAATAACCGGAGCCGACTGTAGGCCACTTCGTGCTCTTCGACTTCCCAGAACTCCATTCCCGGGCCACATTTTTCCCAGCCAACTCACTCCATTCCCGGGCCACATTTTGGATGCCCGGAGCCAACTGTAGGCCACTTCGTGCTCTTCGATTTCCCAGAACTCCATTCCCGGGACACATTTTGGATGCCCGGAGCCAACTGTAGGCCACTTCGTGCTCTTCTATTTCCCAGAACTCCATTCCCGGGCCACATTTTGAATGCCCGGAGCCAACTGTAGGCCACTTCGTGCTCTTCGAGTTCCCAGAACTCCATTCCCGGGCCACATTTTGGATGCCCGGAGCCAACCGTAGGCCACTTCGTGGTCTTCGAGTTCCCAGAACTCCATTCCCGGGCCACAGTTTGAATGCTGAGGCAGGCTGATGCTGAGGCTGAGGCAGGCTGAGGCTGAGGCAGGCTGAGGCTGAGGCCGAGGCTGAAGGCAGACTGAGGCTGAGGCTGAAGCAGGCTGAGGCTGAGGCTGAGGCAGGCTGAGGCTGAGGCTGAGGCAGGCTGATGCTGAGGCAGGCTGAGGCTGAGGCTGAGGCTGAGGCTGATGCAGGCTGAGGCTGAGGCAGGCTGAGGCTGAGGCCGAGGATGAAGGCAGACTGAGGCTGAGGCTGAAGCAGGCTGAGGCTGAGGCTGAGGCAGGCTGAGGCTGAGGCAGGCTGAGGCTGAGGCTGAGGCAGGCTGAGGCTGAGGCTTTGACTGCGACTGCCGTTGCCACTGCGACTGTCATCGCGAATGCGACTACGACTGCGAGAACAGCAGAATTCTACAACTGGATTCTCATCTGAATCTTAAGGGGAATGCTTCCAGATATGCTCCTACACATCGCTGTTAGGTTGCTTTGCCGGGATAATTCGATTTTTCCTCCCAGATCGGCCTGCAGGGGGACATGGCCGACCTGACCCTCGTCCCCTCGTTCCCACCGCCTCGGGGCACCAGAGGGGCCCGGGGGGGGGGAGCCCGTCGCCGAGGGCCCTGGGAGGGCTCGCCGCGGGCGCCTCCTCTCGAGCCTCCCCGGGGGGCCCTGCGCCCGAGCAGGGGGTGGGCGGGCTGCAGCAGTGCTTGCTTCAGGGAGTGGGCAAAAACACACACAGACTTAGGTCGGGCCTGTCCCCCTATAGGGGGATTTTGG